TCATGCAAACTGAGCCCTAGACAGCCTTAAAAACCCCAAAGTCGTTTTAAGCCTTCTATCCCAAAAAAAGTTTTTGACTTGACTTGACATACACAACAAAAGATGGTGAATTTTCGATTACCATTATTACATTTTGAATAGATTAGAGAGGTGTTAGAACCTCAGACACATGTTTACTGCGATCTGGAATTCTGCAAGAGATTTTCCTTCATTTCCTGTCCTGCCAAACAGGAAGGGAGGGAAAATCTGCAGCAAGGACACAAATACAAATCTGACAGGGGTTGCAGCCTTTGCCCATCTGCTTAACAAAACAATGTATTCCAAAAGGATATACTGCATTCTTCCTTAATTGCTAAACGGGTTTCTATATCCAGGTGTTGGAAATCCACTGAGGTTCCTCCCTTGGCGATATGGGCATCCGTTATGAATGTGATGAACATGGAGGGCGTTGTAGCAGAAGATAAAAACCGCACAGAACTTCACGGGCACATCTGCTTTTGTTGGGTGATGTTCAGTTTCTCTGATATCTTTATAGAGACATGTTGGCCTGACTGGGTGAACTCTCGAATCCTTGTCCTCTTCTCCTTTTCTTCTCTCCTGTATATTTTTCTCTTCATTTCTCACCAGTTTCTTCTATCTTGAGTCTGATGCTCTTTTTTCTCTCGCTTTCCTTTCCAAATTTAATCTAAGAGTTACTTTTGTCAGTAAGATTGTTTCGACTATTGCCTTCCATATCTTCTTATTTCTTTGGTATACGCACCAATACTCACCTTGGTACCAACGCATGTTAAGCGTGGGTCTTTTATATTGTTTTGTACATGTTTACTTTACACCTAACTAGGGATGCACCGATACCAATACTAGTATCGGTGCCGATTATTTGGGCGAGTACTCGTACTCGCCCAAATGCTCCGATGCCTAGCCCGATACTTCTGGTATCAGGAAGCCAGGCAGCGCGTCAATACACACTGCCGGCTTTCTGATTGGCCGGAAAGCCCGCTACATGCTCCCTCGTCACAAATGACGAGAGAGCATGGAGCCATCTTCCAAGCCAATCAGGCGCCGTGTAATGACGCAGCACGCAGCTTTCTGATTGGTCGGGAAGCCGGCTTCATGCTCCCTCGTCACCTCATGACGAGGGAGAATGGAGCCGGCTTCCCGGACAATCAGGAAGCCGGGCACTGCGTCATTACACAGTGCCCGGCTTCCTGATTGGCCAGAAAGCTGGCTCCGTGCTTTCTTGTCACCTAGTGATGCGAAGCATGGGGACTGCTTCCCTGCTAATCGGGAAGCCGGGTGGCGAGTCATTACATGACGCCTGGCTTCCTGAATGAGATTTCCAGTACTGGGTATCGTCAAGTAGCGAAACAAATATATTGGTACTTGTACTCTATACCAAAATACCGGTATCGGTGCATCCCTACACCTAACTGAATTGATACCACATATCTTATTCATATTGTGTTCTTTTTTTGCTGGTCTTGTTTTATCAGATTTGAAAACCTTAATAAACCTTGTTGGCCAAAAAATAAAAATGTATTCCAGTCTGAGTTACTGATGGACATTTACCCTCACTTTGGGTCTAGTGAAACCAATGTCAGCTGGACAGTAGGAAATATGGAAAATTCTCTCTAATTGGAGTCCTGGATAGAAATAAAACCCAGCAGAGATTTTGACCCTTCCCTACTCTATCTAGGACTAAAAAAGTAACCCTCCAGCTTGTGAAAGTTATGGGGATCCCAGCTCTATCCTCTACAGCTGCTGGGACTCAGCCTGCTGGGTTTGATGTTAGGCAAAAGTTGCTGTCTACCTTCTGCTCAACTCACCGTAGCAACACATGGAAAATAATGAAATAATGACAGACCGCAGAATAAGTCAGCAGAAATCCAAACAGGTGTTTCATGGTGCAATAGTATGGGAAGTTGAGGGGGACAGCTACAAACTGAAAAACACACCGTCAGTAACCCCGCTAGTACGTACCAAAATAACGCAATTAGATTTATCTGGACTGCAGCTCTACAACCTGGCTGTGCTGTCTGGCAGGATCGCAAGAACAAACAAGATTGCAAATCCTAAAGGATGCTAAAACTTAGCACATATGTATCTCACCTGCATATTTAGATGGTTGCCTAAAGTTAAACTACATCTTAAAATTGTCCCAACATTAACCATTGTTTTGTTTAAATTCACAAGACAAGTTTTTTAAACCAATGTAAAGAAGTGCCGTTGTCCATAGCAACAAATTACCTTGTTTAATTTCATCAAATCGATATGAAAAAATCTGAGGGTTTAATGTCACTTTTTAACAAAAACCAATACTGTAATGTGTGCCTTACTGTAATCCATTGTAGTTTCCCTTCTCTTTGCTGCTCTTCTTTTTAAATCTGTATCTCTACTCATGCTTGGGGAGAACTTCCCTTTGCAGCTGAGTGCCTCTTCCTGTAGTGCTGGCTCAGGTTGTGAACCTTCACACAGACACCATGTATCCATTTCAGAGACAAGGCAGTCTGCTGCAAAACAGAAGTTCTCCCCCAGCATGAGAAGAGATACGGATTTAAAAGGAAGAGCAGCAAAGAGAAGGGAAACAACCCATGGATTACAGTAAGGGACACATACAGTATTGTTGTATGTTAAAAAATCTGAGGGTTTAATGTCACTTTAAGTTGGCCACACGTTACATGTGCATCTGAACGTGCTAGCAAATGCGACTACTCCAGGAGAGTCCATTACCTAGCACAACCCCCTCTCTTCTTGCATGTCATAGCCCCATCCTCTTCTGGAAAGGTCTAATTGCTGGCCCAGCATCTCCACCCACCCCCTCATAGAATGGGAATACTATAGATCAGGGGTAGACACTCTGGCACTGCAGCTGTTGTGGAACTACAAATCCCATTAGGCATTGCAAGACTGACGGCCACAGGCATGACTGAGTCAGATGCATGATGGGATTTGGCGTTTCACCACAGCTGGAGTGGGGAAGAGAGGCTGAAAGGACTGATCTAAGAGCAAGCCAGCTCCACGTTAGGCAAGTATAACAACTTTTTAAACTTAGACAAAAATGAGCATTTAACTAGGGATGCACAGATATCGGCCGCCGAAACATATCAGCCGAAAATGGCACTTTTGCCGAAAGTGCCATTTTCTTCCAATATAGCGGTGCATCCTAGTCTCTCCTCCCCACTGGGCGCTGTTCTGTGTCCAAGCAAGGAGGAGAGAAACTGTCACAGGCGGCCGAGCGCTGTGAGCAGCCAGCGTCTCTTCGCCGCACCACTTAGCCTCCCGTCACAGATCAGAGGAGAGCAGTGTGGGCAGAGACAGCCCGCGCTGACACAGGAGGCTGAGCTCCGCTCGCTCACTGACACAGGAAGGAGAGCGAGTACACTCAGCTGAGTGATCGCTGAGTGTTTGTAGATCATTGAGGACATTGTATGTTTACTCTGTCCTCAATTATGAATGAATGGGAAGTGATCTACATCCCCTCCTGTTCATTCATAGTTGTAGTTATAGTAAATACACTATGTCCTCATGTTATGAATGAACAGGAACACATTTAGAGGATTCCTGTAAATGTATAACAGGGGCTGCAGAAAAAAAAAAAGATTGAGGACCTGTGTTCTCAATTTCTTTTTCTATTTTAAAAGGGAAATATCAGGGGTCTGTTTAGACCCCCGATATTTCCCCGAAGCCCCTAAAAGTAAAAAATACAAATATTTAATAAAAATGAATAAAAAATTAAAAAAAGTTAATAAAAATTTTTTTTTACATTGAAAAAAGTTAAAATAAAAAACATTTTCAGTATTGGCCTGCCATTTTTTTCCATTTCGGTTTTGAAATTTTAATTTCGGGTGCACCTCTACAGTTAACCCTTGCCATGTTTAAACTTCACTCTACAACAGAGCTCCCACCACCACTCAAATTCACCTTGGAGGGCTGGCCAAGTAGCGGGTCCCATCACTGGCTGCTGTGGTTCCTCCTGATGACCCCTAGTCACTGAAGGACTTATGGGCTGGTGGGAGGAACCACAGCAGCCACACACCCAGAAGTGTGAAAATGGGTGGTCACCAGGAGCTCTTCTGCAGGGTGACCACCCGTTTTCACACTTCGGGTGTGAAAGGTGATCACCTTTTCACCTAGCTCCTGGTGACCACCCGTGAATAGGGGTTTAGGCAACAGAGGTATGTAAAAAGCTCTATTCTTTGTATAATTCTTGTTGACCCATTAACAGGGTAATTTAAGGTTTAAACGCAACTAAAAGGAGGCAGAATCTCCGAGTTTGACATCCAAGTAACTGCAACTTAAAATTTACCTTTACCCAAGTTGGTTACTAAGAAGCTCCTTCATGGATCCATTTCCTCCGGTCGCATGATTGCATTGCAACTTCCTTCCAAAAAGGGGCTCACAGTCTAAAATATCTTGTGTTCCCAAAACACCAGCATAATAGATTTACATACAGGCTCACTTGTATTAATGTATTATGGGAAATAGGCCTGTGAACATGATGGTACACCTTTTGTCCAACCATATAAAACAGTGAATATTATGCAGATGATAACCAACAAATCCCCAAACACTCTAACATAATAAACATGTTCCATGCTGAAAATAGGTCTGAAATGCATCACTGTACATATATGATCAGTGACCCCACAAAGCCAGTCCAGCTAATGGATTTAAAAAATGTTCTAGTTACTATTCGAAAGGCAGTGTTAAAACTGATGAGCTGGGAATGTATTTTTATGCCGAGGCTGGGTGGGAGTACAGGAAAATACATACAACACAAAGGGAAATCATGACATTCTAATTCCACCAATGGAATAATACAGGATGCCAGTTATATGTCAAGGACAATAGCTCCTAAATTATGCAGTCAGCAAACAAGTACATTTGTATCAAGGGCCCTCAAAACCTTGCAATGTGTGATAAGCCTGCAAAATAATGATAACAGATACAATATTACAAAAGATTCATAGCAATAGGTGGCATAAGTAATGTATCCTTACCTGTCATCTTCACCATCAACCAGAGGAGTTGTAAGTGGTAGAGACCTCAAAGGAAGCAAGGATCCAGACCCTTGAATGTTACCATCCAAAGGAGCTCCTTCACCAACATGTGGAAAGCCAACCATGGCGTGCTCTAAGCGACGAGCATCTTCAATTTGATTTGCCACTGACTGTATAAATGATGTTCCCAAGAACTGACCAGTGGCCGTAAGCATATGTAGCGGAATATTTTGAATAAAGGGAAAACTTGGCATTACGTGAGCCTGGCTTCCACTTTGGACTAAATTCCCATTTTGTGCAGTTGGTAGTTGAGTAACATTTGGTGGAGGACCTAAAGTTGTTGTTGCAGGAGATATACCAGAAGGAATACTTGTATTCAGCTGTGGAACGGAAGGAACATTAGCGGCAGCTGGTATAGGACTAACAGCAGGCGCTTGTTGATTGGTCATTCCTTGTACTGCAGGATCCAGTAGCTGTGTTGGAGGCTTTGAAGGGAGTAAAGGATTTTGAGGTGCAATCATCACTGGCTGTGGATGAACAGAAGCACCCACTTGAATGCCCTGTGTGGGTGGCAGTACCTGTTGTGTTGGTGGGACATTCTGCTGAACAACAGATGATGTAGACTGACTGGCTGGTGCTGGCAGACTTCCTTGCTGGACCACACCAACAACTTGACTACCTGTGGCAGGCATGGTAGTCTGGGCATGTACCACAGGCTGAGTTGGAGCTACACACGTTGGTGGAGGCTGTGCTGGTGAAGACTGCATTTGCACTTGTAAAACTTGTCCTTGGACAACAGGGACTGTGGATGTGCTGCCAACTGCTGCTGAATTGGATTGCACAGGGCCAACGGCTGTCTGAAGTATTTGTGGATGTTGTAGGTATTCTGGTAAATTCCCCGGTACAGAACTTTGATTTGCTGGCATTACATGCCCAGTGGTCAGCTGAGTCGGAGCAGTTTGTTGATGTGCATACTGCAACTGTTGTTGAGGAACAGTTGGCAGAGTTTGAATAGGCTGCGTCTGTGGAGGATATGGCAACTGTTGTGGGATCATAGCAGGAACTGCTGGCTGTTGATGTCCTAAAGAAGATGGTACACCAAGAATGTTAACAGTGGCAGGCTGGACACCTACAGCAGTGGGCTGGACTCCAACAGCTGGATTTATAGAAGTTGTAGCAGCGTGTCCAACTTGTTTCTGTGGAGAGTAAGTCGCATCTTGTGAATGCATCTGCAATTGTGCAAGCTGAGGCTGTGAAACACTCTGTGGTATATTTGATGCAGGAACATTCTGGGGTAGGGCATTGCTGAAGTCCATCTGCTGAGGGCCCAGTGTTTGAAACCCTTGCATTGCAGGTGCCCCCATCTCTCCACTTCCAACACTTTCTGTGTAATGACTCAGAGTGCTGATATTACTACTGACTGAGCTCCCACTGGTGCTCTCTCGCTCAGACGTCACCTCAAGTGGGTTTTGTTTAACACTCTCTACCGCTTTGTTGACTACAGCTCCCTCTGAAGCAGCTGCCGTATTTTCTTTGTCATAGAACTCCATACATGTCCATCTGCCCTTTTTAAAAGGTTCTGTACTAGAGTCTAGTTTCACAACTCTAAACCTAGACGTTACAGCCAAAGGTGCTGCCGGCTGCTGCTGTGCTGCGGCTGATCCAGTTGCTGACCCCACAGCTGCAGTAGAAACATTGTTAGGGATATTAGATGAAGCAACACTACCATTTCCGGACAAAGTTACATTTGTATTAATGTGCCCAGACACAGCGCTTACATTGCTTGCACTTGTAACATTGGTTGAGTTTACATTGACATTAGTAGACAATGGACCTGTAACACCACTTACATTTTGAATATTAACGTTGTGTGAGGTACTACTCCCTGGAACAGGATTGATACCAGTACTTACAGGGCCACTTGCATTACGCGTTATAGGTGGTACGGTCCCCACGTTTGGAACAGCAACAGGAGGTGCAGAAGAGACTGGTCCTATTGTAACTGCACTGTCAGTACTTCCTTGGGTAGCTAGTTTCATAACGGCTGTGTTTAGAGAGGTCCCAGATAGAGATGCACTGGGTAAGCCATGGTGTGTAGCCGTAGGAAGTCCATGATGATGATGATGAAGATGATGGGGGTGGTGCACATTTCCATTTATCATGATATTTTGCTGAACATGGGATGGCAAATGTTGGAGATGTGGTTGGTTTGGAGACACAGCTCCTGGCGTCTCGGCTTCTTGAAAGTTATTCAACGTCTCCTCTGAAGAGCTTCTTTCTGGCCCGCCAAGGTCCGTGGCTCTAGATAAAGACACATCCAATATCTCAGAGGAGGACAGATCCTCCGTGTGGGACTCATCCAAGTCATCGTAGCTCTCAGTATCCTCAGCTATGCTGTTATTAGAGCTCATGCTGGCTGAAATCTGAGCAGGAGTCACACTGGTGATCTGAAAGCCACTTTTCTTTTTCATCTGCGCCCCGGACTGTCCCAGAGTTTGAGGCATCAAGTTCAGAGTCTGAGGGGGATGCTGCTGAGGTCCAGGAGAAGAGGAGGATACCGGTGGTGGCTGCACCAACATGGAAGGCTGGTAGTCATCAGAAGACAACATATGGCCACCCACTCCTAGCCCACTTGTCAAAGTCAACGGAGAGGGGATGCCAGTGGCACCGCTGCCCCTTCTGGGAACATCTGCCGGGTGCGCCATCTTCCTGGCAGATAGATCAGCAGATGGATCCGGCTGGTGCATTTTAATTCTCCTCCTCTCGCTCTCAGCCCACCCACCTTCACTCCTCCAAACGTGCAGGATGTGTGTCCCCTCAGTGAAGGGGGGACAAGGTCTGTGCCTCCCGCTGAGATCACACACAGGCAGGCAGATAGATGGACGTCAGCTGGCCAGTGCGCACTGTGTGTAGAATAGACGGATGTGATCGGCGCAGTGTCACTTCCAAGTACTGGCACGCCGCCTCCCTTCCCTCTATTAATGACAACGATCGGTGGCAGCAGCAGCAGTCCCTTTAATGACAGGCTCGATCCTCAGGGGGCAGCGGCGGCCGGGTAGTAGTTGTTGCCCTGGATCCGAGCGGAGGTCGGGGCTGTGTGAGCGGGGAGCTGAGCCGGGCGATGAGATCGGAGAGGGCTGGGACGAGCTGAGCCGGTGAACGCGGCCATCACTGACAGCCATCAACACTGCTCGTGACCGGGGCCCGGCGGCAGCCCCATCCTCGCACCGGGGGGAGGAGTGTCGGACACAGCGGCTGTATCGGTCTCCCTCCCGTGTACCGTCTGTGCTCGTAGGCGGTCAGTGAAGAAGAGGCCAGCGGCTCATGGAGGACTCCTCTGTCTCTCTCTCTGTGTATGGCTCCCCCGTGACTCTGCCTTTCTTTTCTCTCGCTGTGTCGCTGGGCTCCGGCTCCCTGTTACACGGCGCCTGTGCCTCCCTCCCCCTCCTAATCTAGCACGGTATTGGAGGACAGCGGCTGGGAGCCGGGGAAGCTGCTCACCGAGGGGCGGAGAAAACGCTCTGGTAGGTGGGCGAACAGGCAAAATGGCAGACGGACATGCGCAGTGCAGCTCCTATCGGGGAGCTGTAGAACGACGGCCGGCCTGCAGGGGGAGGGAAAGAGTCGAGCATGACGCAGCGGGCTCGCCCGAAGGCCCACGGAGATTGCCGAACGCTTGGGCGAGGACTTCGGCGACGTTCGGCTTCTCCGATGGATGACGTCAGTGCAGAATTCAGGCAGACGTGTCCTGCTTGTTGAAAGCCTAGCGAGTACCGTTTAATGAGAACAAGTCCATTGTGCGGAGCGGGGGCCACGTGGAGGAAGTGGCGGCTGAAAAGTCACCGGCAGGGAGGAGTGTACTGACAGTTCAGAACAGTGACCGAGGCGCACCTGTTCCTGCTGGCACTGACGTGAGTGTCCACAGGCTGTGAGGTGCCCTTATTACTCACCTGGACGGCATGGCGCTGACTCAGGCAGAGCAGCATCATATCTGCCTGCAATTTCAGGATTTGTCACTCTCCTTGACACATTTGTCAAGTACTGGAAGGACCAGTGAGACTGAAAGAGGAAGAAGTAACTTTATGTAAAAAAAAGCTGCCTTGGTCTTTCTTGGGAAAGTGGATAATGTGACAATGGGCCCTGATTGATGTTACTATCTAATAGTATTATAATGGTGCTGGTATAGGTTTGGATAGGCAACCTTGGCACACCAGCTCTGGTGGAAGTACAAATCCCATCATGCCTACCTTTTTTGCTCCACCTCAGGCGGCCAGGAGAAGGGGGCCTAGCTTGTAGCAAGGAGGGGGAGCCATCTGCCTCCCCCCAATGAGAGGCCACCTGAGGCTGTCTCTTTATGGGGACCCCCCTGCCTTTAGGAGTCATTCCTGTGGAGTCTTGCAATGCCTCATGGGACTTGTAGTTCTATAACAGTTGGTAATGCCGAGATTGCCCACCCCTGGTATAGGTTGTCTGCTTACCGGCTTGGTGGCTTCTACATCCCAGAGGATTCTCACAGTTTACTCGGTTTGTAGTGCAAAACAGCAGGTATAAGATGGACAACACCCATGTATAGTACAGATTCAATTTTATTCCAGTATAGGGTCAGAGAGAAAATCAAAAAGCGGAAGCCAACACATTTCGGGGGTCCAACTTCATCCTCTTCATCAAGGCTTGCAATAGGAAACTATGGGAGGAATTGATGAAAACATGACAACCACCAATCAGCTTCTCTCATTCATTTTCAAAGCTTAACGGAACAAACTGAAGAGAGAAGCTTATTGGTTGCCATGAGCAACTGCTCCAGATTCTGTGCTCCAGTTTTGATAAATTCCTCCTGTCTATATGGAGTGAATTGAGACTAGAACATTATTGGTATTTTAACCAGTGTGATAACAGACAGAGGACATGTCTACAGCTGGTCTAGCAGCCTCAATTCAGTCCATACATATTGGAGGAATTCAATAAAAGCTTTGCAACTTTTCTGGCAGTATGGACCTTTAAAGTAAGAAAATTCGTAATAGCACCATTTTAGGAATCTGTTGCTATGGCGGCGACAGATATGAAGAGAATTACTGCCAGTTTACAGATTAGAAAGCCAGCGGTAATTAAGACCAATCCTAGTGTACAGAGACCTCAGTGCTCAGAGTGGGGCATGTACACAGTGGCTTGCAAAAGTATTCACCCCCCTAGGAATTTTTCCTATTTTGTTGCATTACCAAATGGAATTGAAAGGGGTTTTTATTGGGATCACATGTAATGGGCATACACAAAATAATCCAAAATGGTGAAGTCCAATTTAGAAAATAACTTGTTAAATTTGTTTTTAAAAAGCTGGGAAAGTAGTGTGTCCATATGTATTCGCCCCCTTTGCTATGAAGCCTCTACATGAGATCTGGTGCAACCAGTTAGTCAGAAGTCACTAAATTAGTAAAATGAAGACCACCTGAGTGCAGTCAATGTGTCACATGATCTCACTATATATACACCTGTTCTAAAAGGCCCCTGAGTCTGCAACACCACTGAGCAAGGGGCACCACCAAGCAAGCGGCACCATGAAGACCAAGGAGTTCTCTAGACAGATCCAGGACAAAGTTGCACAGATCAGGGTTGGGTTATAAAAAATATCCAAAACTTTGAACATCCCACAGAGCACCATTAAGTCCATTATTAAAAAATGGAAAAGTATATGGCACCACAACAAACCTGGCAAGAGAGGGCCGCCCTCCAAAACTCACATACCAAGCAAGGAGGGCATTAATCAGAGAGGCAACAATGATAACCCTGAGAGCTGCAAAGCTCCACAGCGGAGATTGGAGCATCTGGCCTTAGGACCATTTTAAGTTGTCCACTCCACAGAGCTGGCCTTCATGGAAGAGTGGAAAGAAAAATGCCATGGCCTACAGGAAAAAATAAGCAAACATGTTTGCTGTTCGCCAAAAGGCATCTGTGAGACTCCCCAAACATATAGAGGAAGGTACTCTGGTCAGATGAGACAAAAATTAAGCTTTTTGGCCTTCAAGGAAAACACTATGGCACAAACCCAAGACCTCTCATCATCCCCAGAAAACACCATCCGCACAGTGAAGCATGATGGGGACAGCATCATACTGTGGGGATGTTTAATCGTCAGGGACTGGCAAACCGGTCAGAATTGAAGGAATGATGGATGGCGCTAAATACAGTGTGGCATTGTGGAAATACCACTGTGTTAGTTGGCCTCAAAGTGACCCAGAATTCTCAGCTAGAGGGGCTGAGTGGCTCCAGGAAGCAATTGCTTGTACCAGGAACGAGCTGGCTTTTCAGTTCTTTCAAGGTCTTCTGGATCATAGATGGGATACTGGAGCCAGGAGATTTCTTAGAGCTCTGGGTGGGACAAAATCTCCATTCCCGGATCCATGGGCTAGTAGCGACCAGCACCTAATTGTGCACCTGCGTACAACCCTAATGAAGAGGGTGCTGGTATGTGTTGAGGGCCCCACCTGGAAGACAGGAGAACTCCACCCAGGAGTCAGAGTGGAGGCCAGGTTTGTGAAGCCTATTGTGCAGGTTAACACGTTATTGAGGTTGTCTGGAGGAAACAGAAAGTGGCCCTGTGGATGGAGGCCGGAGGAGCAGTACTACAAGAGAAAACTGTTAAAAGACTGGGACACTGTGAGTGTGTGGGACAACTCGAGGATTGGTGAGCCAATATGTTATGCTGAAGACAAGCTATTTTTATGTTGGACTTCCTTGATTATCTGTCATTGAAAAAATAATAAAGCCTTTTGTTTATGGGAAAAGTCCTGTGCGAGTGCTCTGTGAGCTCCCCAACATTAAAAGCGGGAAATTCTTGAGGGAAACCTGTTTCAGTCTCCCAGAGATTTGAGACTGGGAAGGAGGTTCACCTTCCAGCAGGATAATGACCCTAAGCATTCTGCTAAAGCAACACTCAAGTGGTCTAAGGGGAAACATTTAAATGTCTTGAAATGGCCCTGTCAAACCTTAGACCTCAATCCAATGGAAAATCTGTGGCATGACCTAAAGATTGCTGTACACCAGCAAAACCCATCCAACTTGGGGGGGGGGGGATAGTTATGCACACTTTTTGGGGGGTTTTTTTTGTCTTATTTCTTGTGTGTATCTCAATATAAATATTTTACATCTTCAAGGTGGTAGGCATGTTGTGTCAATCAAATGCTACAAACCCCCCAAAAAATCTATTTCAATTCCAGGTGGTAATGCAACAAAATAGGAAAACTGCCAAGGGGTGAATACTTTTGCAAGCCACTGTATTTGTTGTATTTTGTATAAATGTGACAAGTCTCCTGTTCATGGTTCGTTTATTGCTAGGACACCTCTGGCATCCTAGCAACCAGTGATGAATTATTAGCCCATTTAGTTGCTGACAGCCTCTTAGCAACCAATGAAGCTGACAGTGCGCAGAGCCTGATGGGGAAGTCTGAGAGACTGGTTCCCATCAGGATCGCCTCCCTTGTGATTGACTTCAGGCTGTGGGCATATTCCACAGCCAAAAGCCAGCCTGGTCTTCGCTATGGAATCTGCCTGTTGTCAATCAGTAGCAGAGCGGACCTAATGGGGAACTAGTACCTTGGCATACCCATAGGGCTCCGCCAACTCTGAGTTGCCCATCAAGCTCTGCCCACCCACGGCAAATATCCTCGGGCACTGCCCCTGTTTCTGTGACAGCTGCAGTGCCCGAGAGGAGACGTCAGTAACAGAGCTCAGTCTTTGATTTTAACAGGCTCATTGTTACTGAGTTGCACTGAGAACGGAGTCCAGACTGGACATTCTGGCCTCAGTGCA